CCCTACCTGCCCCTGCCCCTTGTGATAAGAATTTCATTTAAGGGCTTGAAGCTTGATTATTTTAGAGGTCAGGAAGAAATCCCCTCTATCATCCACAGAGGTAGCTGAGTTCGGTCCCTGGACTGAGTTTGTGCTTGGAAGTGCAGGGACAAAGGGGTTCTTTTGTTCTGAAGCACGGAGCGTTGATCATGGAAAGAATCACGAGGTTAAGTATCCATGGTCTTGTCAACCCAGGGATGGCTTGTTCTTATCGGACTCAGAAATTCACAACACTGGGTTTGTAAGAATCACGAGGTTAAGTATCCATGGTGTTGTCAACCCAGGGACTTGTTCTTATCGGACTCAGAAATTCAGAAGACTGGGTTTGCTTTAAGCATACGATCAGGCCAGTAGGGATTTTCCTGGGTTTTCTTTTTAGTGAACTGGACATAGAGAAATGAAACAAAGGTGGTTTTTCCTGTTCAGGTTTTAGTTTCGTTTCAGAGATTTTCTCTTTTAGTGTGTCTGGAAATGCAGTTTCCATCTTGGGGCTATAGCAGTGGAGACCTGCATGTAATCGACCCCCTTCATCACAAGCCTCCGAATTTCAAGGAGAACTCTGTTTAAACACAGATGCCCCAGCACACTTATTGCAGCAGCTTAAATGCCCACACACACAAACACCCCTCTCCCTGACTCTCGCCCAACCCTGCAAGCCGACACCCATGGTGCTGCCACCCTATTCTTAAAGGGCCAGCTCCCATTACTTTTATTAGAACACTAGTAACAGGGACTAATACAACAATAAACAAATAGTCAACTTTATTACTAAATAGAAACCTATTTCTAAAGCATCTCCTTCAGCAAACTTACCCTGAGGAGACTCTTGGTCTCCATTTTCTGCCATTCTCTTGTTCTGGTGTTTGGCCTCTTTGCTAGATTGTTACACTTCCTGGTTAAGTCATACAGATGCCTGCTATCTTCTTTCTGGTCAGCGTAGCTTGACTGTTCGCAGCCAGCTCCTGGACACAAAGAGACTAAAGCAATGACTCATAGTGGGAAACTTGAGAGCCTCCCCACCCCCAAAGCCCCTTCAAAGCTGTGAGGCGCAGTGTGAGGCGTTTACCTTTATTATGATGAAATGTACCAAGATGCAGCTTGGATAATCAGTGATATCTGAGGACGTTAGGCCTCGTGCTGTTAACAATCAGCTCATGTGACTGAAAAGGTGTTCAGCCGAGTCTCTCTGGGCGATCTTTAATTGTGTGACGGTAACTCGACTGGAGAAAATACCTTTTGTGCCCATGTACACCAAGCGGGAGCCCTTATGTCTGAATCCCATTGGTGGGAGGATGATGGGGGAAGTTGCACGGTACCTGCCTTTGGTCCGAGTCTCCAAGGCTGTTGCACCAGCAATTTCATCCACTCTTTAAAAGATGTTTGAATCACTCAGACTATAAGTCGTGGGGGGAAGGGCAGGGTGTTGAAGGGAAAAGGAGGAATGTCTCTCCACCAGCCACGCGGCAAGAATGTGACCCCACCTTTTGAACATGTCACAACAGCGCAAAGCGAGGCAAGGACACAAATACCGGAGGAGAGTGACGGGGGGGTCAGTTTCTTCACATCATAAAGTTTCCTGTTGTTTCAGTTTAAAGATGGTGCATTTTGTGATGCTAATCATGTGAAGTCAGGCAGCAACAGTGAGCAATGTAACCTGTTTAAGGATCTGTATGCAAATGAGCAGCAGTCTGTGCCTAACACAGAGTGCCTAACACAGAGTCTAAGAAGATATTTCCTCACACCAGATGGCCTGTCGCCTCTATTGTCATGCCCTCTAACTGACTGCAGCACCGTATTTGGAGTTAATCAAAACTGTATGGAGGCAAGTAGTCAGACTTACAGCTCACTCCCAGGAATTTCTGCCCTCTGCCCCCACCCCACCGGCATTTGAATCTTCCTCCGTGTTACCAGAAAGATCAGGAAATGAGGAACTAAAAGTAGCTCTGCTGTGCAGAGCTGAACACTTACTTGTAGTTTGCAGCAGTGCTTAGCAGCTATTTCGTAGCAGAGGGATTGTTACAGGCAGACCCAAACTGCTCCCTACCACAGACATCCCAACGGCCCTTCAGTTTCCATGCTGGAGGGAAAACAGATCCTTTCCTCTCAAATACACCCACCCATAAACTCTTAATCCTCCCACTGTCAACGTGACAGTGAACCTTGCACCCATCCAGGGCGCCATCGTGGAATGCTGGGATATGTAGTTCTCCCCCCTCTCTTTGATTATGGCCATGTTGCTTTGAATGAATAGTCCTACATCAGTTAGTGCTGGAGTGGGGAACCTTTTTTTGCGTCGGGGGCCGCACACAAGTGAGAAGCAAAACAAAGAGTAAACAAACAAACAAAACCCCTCACAGACGTAGCCCCGCACTGAGAAGGAGAACAACACTCCCCACATTCTCCTCACACACCAGAGCCTAGGGGATCCCCAGCTAGTAGAGTTTGTGTGCTTCAGCTCTAGGGTTGCCAGGTGTCCGGTTTTGAACCAGACAGTCCAGTATTTGAGCTTTCTGTCCGGGAAACAAATTGAGAAGATACCAGACATACACATTTTCTAATTAAGTAAGTTTTATTATTATCATGAGTATTAGTACGTAGCTGCGTACTGCCTGGCTGGTAGACATGCTCACACTGCGTGAGCGTGTCTACCAGCCAGGCAACACAGCTACACAGTAGAGAGGAGGGGAGCGGGGTCAGGGCGGGATGGAATCCCTGGGGCCGGAATCGCTCATGCGCCCTGCCGGGACCCTGCGCAGGATGGGCAGCACCCCGGGATCTGCGTGCGTCCAGGCCAGCCCCGCTCCATGCCAGCCAGTTATCCCCCTGCTTCCCCTGACCCCCTCCTGGCCAGCCCTGCTCCCTGCCGGCTGGTTCCCCTCAAATCTCCCCCAGTCAACCCTGCTCTCCCCGACCTCCTCCCAGCCAGCCCCACTCCCACCGACTCCCTCCCAGCTAGCCCTGCTTCCCGCTGGCTGGTCCCACACCCCAATCTCCCTCAGTCAGCCTCGCTCTCCCCAGCCCCCTCCAGTTCTGAGATCAAGTGTGTCTGGAATTTTTTTGAAGCCATCTGGTAACCCTATCCAGCTCCCAGTGCTGGGGAGGGGGAGCCCTGAGCCTTAGTGGCTGCATCCGGGCATTAGGTTCCCCACCCGTGAGTTAGTGGTTTTGTTCTGATTACAAATATAATTATTTTCAGGAAGTAACTCCTCTGTTTGGACTTACCGAACTCTACAATTGTACAGAGCATCCTTCAAACAGAGTGTATCTGAAACCAGTTTGGAACCAGTGAAATGGTAGAATTACATTCATATAATCATTTTCGGGCAAATTCCAAAGAAACGTAGCCTCCTTGCAGCTCAAGCACTACTCAGCTCAGTCTCTAGCTAGGACCCTAGGTGGGTCTGGCTGGATGTTCAGTCTGTCTCCGTCACTCGTGACCTCACCACATAACCAAATTCCCAATTGTAGATTACCGCCAGCTCAAGATTACTCTATCTGGATGGGACACTTAAGAGGCATCATAGACTGTGCTGGAGGATGCTCGAAAGATGTGGATGCTTGTATAGCAGCACCTGCTGCCAAATGTGCCCTTCAGTGGTCTTTGTGGAGACGCCATGACATCAAGCTTGCTACGAAGTTGCAGACTTAATAGAACTAGAGTTACACCAACTTTATTGTACAGCAGAGAAGCAGGGCACTATGGAAGACTGAAGAGAGTGGATTGATTGTTTTGATTCGTCATCAGCTGCTCCATAGTAAGTGGCAAACCAAGATCAACAATGAGGATACTCAGAATTAAACCCAGCAACTGTATCTTTCAGCCTAGGTGGCTTCCTGGGTGCCGACCTATTCTTAGGATGGAAGGCCAATTAACAGAATTACAGCAGAGGGAGAAAGTATTAAGAGGCATAAGACAAGGGAAAAAGAGGTGATTTATGTAAAAGCAAAGATTTATGTACAGCACTGGCACAATGGGAGCCTGATTTGGTCTGGACCAATAGTACTACATAGTACAAATGACAAGTAATCTGTGGTTGCTTTTTTTTTTTTCAATTACACAGGCCAGTGTAAAACAGCAAGTAGGAAAGACAAATCAGAGAAGCCAAGATTTATTAGGTTTTTTTTTCTGGAACCCAAACCAGCCCCATTTAGAAAATAAATTGTCCCGTTGGCCTTCCTGACATATGGCCACATTATTAAGCTAGCCTTGTACAAACTAGGCTCCAGGGTCGAGCAGCTTCAGTGTAAAAGGTGGAATTTTTCAAATGTTATAACTTGGGATATAATATTGCTACATGCATTTTCCCATGATGAGAGGTCTTAATTTTTAAATTATATCTCACAGGGCATATTTTGTGCAAAGATTATTACAGTAGCGTTTAGGGAGAGAATACAGGAGTACATTTGATCACACATACTTGAAAATATAAAGCTAAACAGTTTTTGAATTACTGGCAATTATAACTATTCTAATTGGAAATGTTGGCTTGTCTAATTTTGTCTCCCTCTAGCAAAATTACAATTTTTCACAATCCCTAGGTGTATATATTGTCGCTTAGCAATGTTAACTTTTTTAAAGCAAAGGTTTTTGGATTTTATTTTAGAAATATAACAAGCTAGAAAAGGATCAATAGATCACTTTGTATCACAGAAGTCTGCTTGATTACACAGAGCGTATCTTGAAATGCTGCTTTTCATTTACAGTCAGTAACCACATAATTTAATTCTTGTAAAGCCCTTGGAGACTTTTGGATGAAGGTAAAATGGAAAGATTTTACCTGCACATTTACCGGATGACTGAAAGATTACGAATCAGTCATTTACTAGCTCTTTCTATCTGACTTAAATCAGAATAAATAGCTCTGTGGACTTTAAAACATCTCGATTAGGTGATTATCTCTGTAACACTCTGTTGTGCTGCTTAATGAAACATAAAGCTCATCTTATTTGCTCTCCTATTCCATCTTAAAAGAATGACAGTTCATACATTTGGGCCTGGCACAGAAGGCATGCATAATTTACGTAACACATTTTCCCTTGCTTCTAAACAAAATTTGAACTTCAAGAGAACACTTGTACAACACTATTAAACATTTTTTTCTTCTTTAATAAACATCAGACTTGAGAGGTAGAGAGGCTAGGAAGTGAGAAAAGTTGTTGTCCCACATTCTTACGAAGTGCTCAGAGCATGTCCGTGTCTCCTTAAATAATTTACAATGTTCCAGGATGAAAAAAAAGGCATCAGCCTAAATAAGATGGACTTTGCTGTAGGAATGAGGTGCTGTCTTCCTCCCTTCCCCCAGTCCCTCCCAGGTTTAGTAAAATAAAAACCCTTTAGGACCTCTTCATTTTATAGTTAAATCAGCCTTGCCTAAATCATTTGTATATACGTTGTGTGCTGTATTTGCTCAAATCTATATGAGAAAAATAAATCTAATAATGATCGTCAGCACCCTCCTTAGGTGGTTGTGGAGCCTGGAACAACACCCTCTCCTCCCCCCACAGGGCCAGCCCACTACATTTTGGCAACTGCGGCGGGGAGTTCAAATGATGCCCCCTTTTCTCCTGCCTGCCTGTTGTCTCTTGTGCCCTCCTTCCTCCAGCACATCACTTCACCATCTCTGTGCATCTAGAGTAGAGAGAATACATCTGCACCAGCAGCAGACACAATTTTCTACACTTTGGGTCCTAGTGGACCCCCCCCCCCCCCCCCCCACCCCCCCCTCCCCCTCCCTGCCTCTGCCCCTGCCTCCGTCCCCACTCCAACCCCCGTCCCTGCTCCACTCCTCCCCCACCTCTGCCTGAACCAACACTGCCTCCTCCCAAGCAACATGGCCTGGGGAATTACTGGGGGGCCATTACCCCCCTTGTACTCCTGTGGTGGTGGGAAGCAGAATAACCTGGCCCTAGCCTGCTCTACTCCCTGGCTACGTCTTCACTAGCACCCTTTTCCGGAAATGCTTAAAACGGAACAGTTTTCCGTTTTAAGTATTTCCGGAAAAAGCGTGTCTACATTGGCAGGATGCTTTTCTGGAAAAGCACTTTTTCCGGAAAAGCGTCCGTGGCCAATCTAGACGCGCTTTTCCACAAAAAAGCCCCGATCGTCATTTTTGCGATCGAGGCTTTTTTGCGGAAAACACTACTGTGCTGTCTAGACTGGCCCTTTTCTGGAACAGTTTTCCGGAAAAGGACTTTTGCCCGAACAGGAGCAGCATAGTTTTTCCAGAAAAGCACTGATGATTTTACAGTAGATCGTCAGTGCTTTTCTGGAAATTCAAGGGGCCAGTGTAGACAGCTGGCAAGTTATTCCGGAAAAGCGACTGATTTTCCGGAATAAGTGGCCAGTGCAGACACAGCCCCCGAGCCCAGCTTCAAGCCCTGTTGCTCAGGAGACTGGAGGAGGTTAGGACTCTGGCACCTACTTCCGCCTAGGAGATGGCGAAGCAGAGCGTGCTGAGGCTGGACTGCTTCGCTTCCTGTGGCTCCCACGCTCCCTGGTGAGTACGGGGCTGGGCCCGACCCTGCTACTGTCCCAGAACCCCTGGGTAATCACCGAGGCTGCCCTGACATCATAGGGTTCCCCAAAATGCAGGGCTCGGGGCCACCCCAACCATTCTATGGATGAGATAGCTCTGATGATCTTGAATTTACATCATATCTTGTATCCAGATTGATCCCAGATAACATTATATGCTGTACTTGTAAACCACCCTGGGTGCTGTGTGTCATTAAAAATTGTATTTATAAAAATCAAACTTCCATACTATTTGTTACAGGAAAGGAATAATTAGAACTGTTGATTAATCATAGATAACTCACACAATTAACTCAAAATTAATCACAATTAAAAATTAATTGTGCTTAATCACACTGTTAAACAACAGACTACCACATGAAATGTATTAAATATTTTGGATGCTTTTTTAAATTTTCAGATATATTGATTTGTATTATGACACAGAATACAAAGCGTGCAGTGCTCACTTTATATGGTTACATTTGATTACTATCATTGGCACTCTAAAAATGATAATAGTATTTTTCAATTCACCTCATACAAGCACTGTAGTGCAATCTCTTTATCATGAAAGTGTAATTTAAAAATGTAGATTGTTTTGTTGCATAACTGCACTCAAAAACAA